TTCGGTTCCGTTCAGGCGTTTAATCGCCCGAAAGAAGTGAAAGACTTGAGTCACTTCAAGAGAGAGCACTTATGGCTCGATATGGCTGTTGACGCCACTGAAGAGCAACACTCAGATGACAAGTCTGGCGGCAATAAGCAGTCAATAAATGGCGATAATTGTGATGATTCTACTCGTCGATTGACTTCAGTGGCAAAACGTCTTATCATTAACTCGTTTATTAACGACAGCGACAGTGATAGCGACGGACCGCCAGAAGAGAGACCCACTATTATTAAAAGACAACACGAAAACGATTCAATCGATTTCGCCGAAGAAGTGTCTGAGAAAATTGAGAAACAAAAGGAAACTAAAGTGAGAAAAGTTGTTAATAACAAGAAACCGAAGTCAAAGTATTGGCATCAGAGGTATCGACTCTTTTCCCGTTTCGATGACGGCATACAAATGGACACCGAGTCCTGGTATTCAGTGACACCCGAACGCATCGCACAACACATCGCCCATCGATTTTCACTCGACAATCAGAATTTCATAATCATTGACGCCTTCTGTGGCTCCGGAGGCAACACTATTCAGTTCGCACTCATATCACCGTTTGTTAAAGTCGTTGCCATCGATATAGACATGAATAAGATCTCGTGCGCCAAACATAACGCCAAGATCTACGGCGTGGACAAGAGAATTGAGTTTATTTGCGCCGATTATCTCGTTTTAGCCAAAACGGGTGCACTGTTTGGCGACGCTGTGTTCCTGAGCCCTCCCTGGGGTGGACCTAAATATCTCAATTTAGCCGTTTATACCCTCGATATGATGTCCCCGAGCGGTACCGATGTCTACGATGTGACCAGAGATCACATCACTGACAACATCGGTATTCTCTTACCACGAAATATTGATACCAATGGTGTGGAAGAGTTGGCCGGAGTCGGCAATCGTGTGGAAATTGAAGACAATTTAATGAATAACAAAATCAAGACTAAAACCGCTTATTTTGGAAATTTGATTCAATCATAGAATTCATTACATTATTATACAGTACTTCCCAATCGTTATACAACTCATGAAAGCAAATATATAATTGTAGTCCTATTCTTAATATTGTGTCACAATATTATTAAATTAACATTTAATTAATTTAATTGTGTTTTTCTCTCGGCAGCCAAACTGTCGGACAGATTGTTACCGAAACTAACTTCAAATGACATTTTCTCTACATTTAAAGACTATATTTAGTTTTAAAACCCAATTGTTTTAGATTTATGTTAAAATTTACACAAATAGTATTATTAACACATTTTAAATGTATTTTTCTATGAAATAAAGCTATATTTTGAATCATCTCTTTAATCGATGAATCCATTCCTCGGCCAAGAATTCAATATCAGTGCCATTAATGAAGTGTTGCATCTGTTCTGCGAACCACTTGTCAGAGTCGAAGTCCGGGAAGAAGTGTTTGAATTCTCTCTCAAACGATTGCGAAGAGTCTGATCCGTGAGTGGCGTTTCGAGTGTCACTTAAGCCATACAACGCTCTTATAGTGTTTGGTTCATTGAATTTAGTCCTGATTTCCATAAATAATGCATTCATTAATAATATTCACGACATTTAAGCAGACAATTGATTACATATAAACTTTTGTCGGTCCCATCAATTGTCTCCATTCAGTGATCGCATTATGTTTTGCTAATATATGACATGATATGACACCCGAAGACATGAACGACACTAATCTCCAGTAGAAAAACTTATCTAAAGTCACAAATTATTGATTAAAATGGTTGTCATTTAATCCACAATCAGGTGATCCAACTGGTGGTCAATACCTTTGTGTTCGCTATAAAAATCTTTGGCTTCCAATTCAGACATTCGTGTAATTAGTGAACGAATAAAATAAAATCCATTTATTTTAATCATATTTCTGATGGCCTTTCAAATGGATTTCGTTTCATATATTAAATAAAACACAAAATATTAAACAATCAAAAAGTTTTTGCATTTCATTAATTCTTGACATACATTGAGTCGATTGGGATCTTTGCAGACATCGGGTTTAATGATGGCTAGAGTGAGCTGTAGTGGAGGTTTAACCACATTCTTCAAGGTCTGGCCGACCAATTGACTCAATTGATTGCAAACAAACATTTTTCACATCCAATACAAGACCCAAAAAATATTTGAAACTTCAAAAAAAAAGTTTTATTCACAGAATATTCTGTTGACTAAACCAATGGTTGCCATTGACTACACATTAAAGTTATGTTTTGTTTTGTATTCATTTAGAGATCACTTAGCGATTCGCCTGAAGACTCATCTCATCGATGATAATCACCACTTGAACGATGAAACTGTCGGACATACAGGACATGGATTGGCGAGAGTTGGGATCAATTGACTTGAATGCGTTGAGCGACGAGATTGAGGGCAACAAATCACTGGTCCATCAATTGGCCGCTTATATAGCGCTTCACTCTTTGGATAAACATATCGTATGTATTGAATCATTTGAATGAACGCTTGTTTTGCTATCCATTGCAACAAATAATTACGGGTTTGAGTGAAGGGAACGCCTGTTTTGAGGAAAACTTTACTTTTTTATTTCTCATACAATCTCACTGTTAATTCAATACACTATTTAATCCATTACTTACTAATTTCTCTGTTAAACATTACAGAAAATTATAGTTGCATTGAATTTATGATAAATTAACTGAAATAGTTTGAAATATTGCTGATATACTGTATATTTTAAAACTTATTACAGAAATACAAATCATATAGAATTTATTTTTAAGAACTTTTACTTGTAATGTAATTATTTATGTAAACATTAACTTAAATTTAATTGTTTGTTAAATATATTTGAAGGAAAGCCAACAAACGGACCACAATATAGTGAATCTCTTCAAATTGTCTCAACTTATTCTCAAACAATTGTTGAAAGAGAACTCCAATCGTTCAGTTGTTTCGGAAACTGACGGCAAAAGTAATAATAATTTGATTCGAGAAAATAAAAAGTTGCGAAAACTTCTAGAAATACACCAAAAGGCGATGACTTATAATCATACGCTTAATGGAGAGTACGCTCAATGCCCTCATTGTCCCAAAGTATTCTTCGACACCTCTTTTCTCAAAACCCATTTCGCGCGAAGACATCCAAACGAATCGCTCGATTCGGAGGGAATGTTGT